CTGTGACTTTCGCTTTTCGTTTGCTTTCAGCTGTCTGCAGCTGGAAAATGCAGTTCTCTCGAGTGCCCACAAAAGTATGCAATGGATAAGGCAATGGCTTTGGGCAATGCAATTTCAAAAGCACACACACACACACAAATGAGTATGTATGTGTGTGTGCCATAACGAGGTCACTGCCTTGGTACAAAAGTTGTCAACTTGAAAATAACACGTTTTGAAAATCTGTAAAAATACACATACATTTTTAATGGTAAGCGTATGTGTGTGTGTGTGTGTGTGTGTGTGTGTGTGTGTGTGTGTGTGTGTGTGTGTGTGTGTGTGTGTGTGTGTGTGTGTGTGTGTGTGTGTGTGTGTGTGTGTGTGTGTGTGTGTGTGTGTGTGTGTGTGTGTGTGTGTGTGTAGGCCGAGTGTGTGTGCTTTTGATGCGTATGCGTATGTATGTTTGACTACAGCTCAGGCAACTATTGCCCTTTATTTGCGCTTATCAGCGTGTAAAATGCGCAGTTCAAATGCAAATGTGCAGCGTAATTAAAATTGTGCAAAAGCGTGCATAGTTTTCCCATTGACTTTTGTGACCAGTCTTCTGATTTATTTAATTTTTCCTTTTTTAATTTTTGACCGCCACAATGTTGAGCTAATTTAAGACTGAATTCACATATCATAAATATTACATATATATATATATATTTAATGGTAAGCCGAAATATTGTATTTTTCATATAAATATTAAAATGTTAAATAACCTTTAGCCTCGACTCGAACCATGAGTTGCAAGCTTCTCCGATTTGGGGGCAAGTTGGTCGTAGCAACGAAACATTCTTACCAATCTTCGGAGGGATTTCTGGAAATCTAGCTACATTTTTGCTAACTTTAACGCTAAGACTTTGGGGGATGTAGATATTTTAGGTATTGAGCGACGCCTTCGATATAAGAGTACAATGAATTTAAGAAGTCTTTAATTTATTTTTTAATAATAATATGCATGAGACTATGTCCATTTTAAAAAATTAAAAATTATGATATATCTCAAAACACGTTATTAATAGGCCATTCTTATACCTTTAACCCATTAAAAAGGGGAACGGGAGCCCTGCTCTGTACAATGAGAGAGCTGCTAACGCTGGCAGCTGCAGTTCAAACTGTGGATATGTAAGCACAACTAACAATAAGTTATTTATATTAAGCCACACAGGACTCCAAATTCAAGTATGTAAACAATTCATATTCAATTAAAAGTTTTTTACTACGGCTGCCAACAGGGCTATGTTAATGAAGTTGTGTAAAAGTAGGTAACGGTTAACATACTCCATTATCATATATAAATTAACATCCGTTAGGGGCTTCAAGAAAAATTAATTAATTTAAAAATTAAATTAAAATTAAAATAATATATTTAAGTCTTAGTTGAGCTCACTCGACTTGTTATATGTTAATAACTCACATTTTCAGAGACGAAAACACATTTCGCACTGGCTTAAGAAGAAAGAGGCATCTGAAGCAGCTGCAACTAAAATAGTAAGTGGAATGACATCAGTCGACGAGCTGTCAGTTTAATTGATTTGAAGTATTAACTCAAGCATTATAATTAGCATTTGCCAAGCTTATTTGATTGGTGAAAGCCATGAACATTAGACTGCCGAGGTTCAGTTTACATTTAGTGATTGTTGATTACATTATGAATTTTGTACAAATCGCTTGGGTTTTAATTCGAGGAGTAACTGTCCACTGGCCACTGCCCACTGTTTTATGCCACTCTGACCAGTTGCCACAAATAAAGTCGTAGATATATTTTGAAATAAAGCTGCCGTTATCACAAATTGACCTCAGAAGCATTGTGCTGTGTTCGGCTGTGTGGCAATGTGGCAGCAGCATTATGGGGCAATAATTTGAGCCAGCTGTGCATGGCCAATGGTTGCGTTTGGACTTTTGTTATGGTCTATGCACTGTTATGGACTACGGACGATGCACGATGGACGATGGACGATGGACGATGGAATCCATGGACCATGGGCAATGGGCAATGGCTTCGTGCGGTCACTCAACCAGGCTGAACATTTTACAGGCTTTGCCTCGCTTCCGTTTCCGCACACACACACACAAACACACACACACACGCAGCTGCACACACACAGAGTTAAGTGGTTTGTGGTTGCTGGCAGCGCGTTGATTGCGCTCTGGTCCAAAAATCTAATAAAGCGCCAGCATATGAAATGGTGAATAGTTTGGGTTATTTTATTATTCTTGTTGTTTTTTTTTTGTGGGACAAGGGGACAGCCAACACATGTCAATTTATGCTTTATTAAACCATATTAACAGGCAATCTGGCAAAACCGAATGTTGATTTCCGGGCATTGCTTTTCAACTCAAACATATTTTGAGTGCCATTCGCTAGAAACTATTCAATTTCGAGTCATATACAAATTCTAAAAACGCAACCAAACTGCAACCGATTAAGAACGCACGATGAATGGTGGGGGCGATAATCAGCTAACGGTCCACTACAATCACAGACCGATCAATCGCAGGCTGCAAATGATACTGCAGGACCTGCACATCTGGCAGCAGCCCCCCGTTGAATATTACAATCCAATCGAGACCCTGCAGGGCGACCCAGTTGACAATGGCCTGATGAATGCTGAAGGTATATTGCCTCGTTCGAATACGGACGTTGATGATTCCGGCTTTGAATCGGGCAGCGAAAGCGATATGTTATAGCCAAGTTATATTTGTATATATGTCAAATGATGCATGTGTGCATGTGCCAGTCAAGTTGCGTACATATTAAATTGATTGAACATGTGCCAGCGACTTACCTTAAATCAATAAATGTCGTAGCTTAACTAAAATTGCAGACTCATTTATTATATGTTGGTTTATTCATGTCAATTTGATTTGTTCTCGAACACAAAATACATTTTACTCATACACATATATGTGGATACGCAATTTGCATGTGTGTCGTTTTTTGTGTGTGTTGTGTGTGTGTGTTTGTGTGTGTGTGTGTGTGTGTGTGTGAATCCTGTAAATATGCATACATATATTTATGTAAATAGATTACTTAGAGATTTTGCAGATACAATTACTTTACACATACAATATTCGATATATTCGCAAATATTTATTTTGTATACATTGATAATACGGATAACGAGTATACGAATTCAATTTGTTCTTGTGACATATTATTTTCATTGATTTTATGTTTGTTTTTTTTTTTGGTTTTTTTGATTTGTTTTTTTTTTTTCTGTTTTGTCTGCTTTCATTGTTTTTGTTGCTTTACTTTCATCATGCTTTCTGGGGTTTTATTTCGTTTTTATAAATATACAAGTTTTCATTTTGATTTTGTTAAGTGAATTTATAACTTTGGTTTTTTAAATAAGTTCTTTTCTGGCTGTTACTTTGCAGCATTTTCATATATAAAATTGGAGTTCTTATTCCCGATTTTTTTTTTATCTAGTATCGATAATTGTGCCTACTTTTCAAGTATTTCTTCTTAAATTACAATTAATTTTTAAAGTGAATTAATTATTATCACGACTAATATAGTTGGTTTCTTCATTTCTTTTTTTTTTTTAAATAAATAACAGGCTCTGGGTTTAATTCAAGTCGCCCCGCATAGCTGCAAATTAATACTGAATTATAACTAAATTACATAAATGATTGTTAGTTCTTGTCTAAATTTTAATTTCATTTCGTAAAAGTTTTATTTCTACAAGATATGGTGTTTTTCTTAGCCCCTTGGGCAGCTAAAACCGATATATCTAACCATATATTATATGATACTCGTAAATATGTTTTATTAAATTATTACGTATTTCTATTAATAATTAATAATAATATTCAAGAAGCATCAATTCAGTAAACAATAAATACTGCGCGCTAAATAGTTAAAAGTAAATTATAAAAAATCGTATTACCTTAAACTAATGGAAACTGATTATACATATACATAATTCATTATTTGTCATTGTTCAGTTTATACGTTATGGATTTGGTTGCTTAAATTACACCACGTTCGGTATATATGTTCTCGTATATAAATATATCGTAAATCATATTTATTAAATAAAAATAAAATTGGTTAGTAGTCTGTATCCTGCCCAAATTGTCTAGACCTACAAAAAGATCTATCGAAACTAACGAATTATTTTGCAAAGACCACTTAATAGTTAAATATTATTCTCAAAATTGTTTTAGGCGAAAGAGTAGAAAATATATTTCACTAGGAAATTACAATTCGTACGTATTTAGAATGGATACAGGGTAAAATAAAACGTATGTTAGTTTAAATATATATATTGATTGGTATTTGAATATTATGTATATGTATGTAGATGTATATGTATATATATATGTATATGTAGGTATTTTATGTTGCTCAATTTGTGGGCTTTAAGTACATCTATAAATTCTTTAAAATTTCTAATGGTGTATACATTCATTTTCATTTGCAAGAGGAGAAGAAGGTGGTGGAGCTGAGGAGTACGGGTAAGTAAGGTGTGTAGTGAGAGGGGAGCTCGATAACTTGCAACTGCGATAAGTTTTGTTGCACACGTTGTTTGTAAAATGCATAAACATTTATCTTATAAACTAGACATTGCTCTCAGCAATTTGATTTGTTTCACTCATCACACACATATGAGACATAGTTATGTATGTGTGTTCGTGTGTGTGTGCGAGTGTGTGTGTGTGGTTATGAGTATATACTAAGTATGTACGTTTGTATATCTTGTTGATAGGTTGTTGTATTTGTTTAAGTGAGTGCTCAACGCACTCATGATAGGGAGGGCTTTACATTGAAATCCATAAATTGAACACAGCGGCTGCTGGGTAATGTTGTTGTTGTTGTTATGTATGCGAGTGTGTGTGTGTGTGTGTGTTTCATACGAGTTACTTGCTGCAGTTGAAATGCAAATTAATACAAATGTTCTCTTGAAATCCAATTAAAATTTAATCAATTTGTAATTATATCCTTTTTATCATTGTTTTTCCTTTTTTTTTGTTTTTGTGTTTCTTTTTGTTTTTTTAATTTTGCTTTTAATTTGTAACGCATGCCAGTTGCAACTTACAGCACAAACCCGTAACCTCAGTAACCAGTCGCATCGAACAGGTCGGGCAGCACCAGTGGCGGACAGTTGTGCGGACTGCAGGTGACGCTGGGCAGCTCGTCAGGTGTCACAGCATCCGTGCAGATGCACTGCAAACAGTTACCGGTGTCCTGTGGCAGAACTTCGCCAATTTTATACAATTTACCTGCAATGGCAGACGAGACGAGGAATGCACAGTTAAAATGGAGGAGAGTTCACTATTGTCATCAGTGTTGTTGTTCTTGATGTGTTTTGGCAACTTACCCAGCACGTTGCACATACGCCCCGCTGCCAGAGGCGTTGTTGTTATAATCGTTGTCAACGTGAAGGGCGGCAAATTGTACTGATTGCTGCTGCTGTTATTGTTACTGCTGTTGTTGCCGCTGCTGCCGCTGCTGCTGGTGATGGGCATTGTTGTTGTTATTGATTTTACTGTGGTTGTTGCTGCTTCAGCTGGTATTGGTGTTGATGTGGCCGTTGGTTGCATTTTTGTTGGTTGTCTTACACCGGGGCTTACATCTGAAGTTTGGTTGTCATTTGCAATTAAATCCGTTTCTGTGCTGGCTCTCGGTAACTTCTGCTGCTGCTGTTGTTGTTGCTGCTGCTGCTGCTGCTGCTGATGTGGATGCACATCTACAGCAGTTAGTGTAATATCAATATTGACAACGCTGCCATTGAATTCGCTACTGTAATCATTGTAAGAGCTACGGAAGAATACAGCATCCGCATTGTCAGCTATGTTGTTGCCGTGTCTGTTGTCATTGTCTTTACTATTGCTGCTGCTGGTGGTACTGTTTCTGCCGCTGCCGCTGCTGCTGCTGCTGCTGCTGCTGCTTATGCTGCCAACATCATCGATTATTGTTGATGCTGATGTTTCCTGCTCAATTGTAGCTTCTGCTGCAGCTGCAGCTGCTGCTGCTGCCAAGTTATCGTCAAACATATTTGTACTGTCAATATTGAGTTCCGTCGATGTCAGCCAGCGATGAAATGCATCATCAGCTTCCTCAGTTTCCTTATCCTGTTGCACTCGCTGCAGTTACACAGTAGGCAAATGTGATTATTTTTACATACATAATAAATGCAATTTAATGGATGCAATCTCTGACCCCAATGTCTGCTAAATAGTGTTGAGGAACTTCTTTTTAATTTCGTTTGAAACATTAAACTCGAATAAATAATGAAACAGCTGTGCCATGAAAAATTCAATTGCACAAAGCTGCAACAAATGTCCACAAGACGAAGGATGCTTAAAAACTTAATTGGCCGCACTTTAGAAGCACTTGGGGCACGGCTGCATCAGCCAGCAGGCACTAAAATTTGCTGTGGCTTGTTGGGTTTTATGATACTCTTGGCAGTGGCCATTATATATTTTGTTATTAAATGTGCAACAAATTGAAAAAGACCACTCTAACTCCAAAAGGTGTAAGCGTCTAGCAGATGCCAAGCTGAGTTATATGTGCAATATATCTGTCAATTTCAACTTTGAAACGAATGTGAAGTAATGGGGCAATACAAATAAAAAGAAATATCAATTAAATGTGAGTTTCTGCATGCTTCTATTATATTAAATAAAATCTAGCAACATAACAATAATTGTTTCTTACATTTTGGCAATGACTTTTAGAATTGTGATTGATAACAGATTTTAAATTGCCGAGTTGCTAATATTTCTTTTATGCCGACTAATTTCAGTCGACACAATCAAACTAAAAAAATAAATAAAATTAAATGAAATATTAGAATATAATTATATGAATCAATAAATAATAATAATCATTTTAAATTAATGTTAAGAAGTACAAATTAAAAAATTAAATAAAATTATAAATAAAATGTAATACTGATGTTTTATATATTTAAATTATAGAAATGATATAAAAATGATATTAAATTAATTTAAAATTAAAATGAAATATTAATGGGTTTCAAATTAAAATTAAATCAATAAAAAGTTGTACAACATACGAATTAATTCAGTTTAAATAAAAAAAATTTTATATTTTTGATTTGATTTTCAAAACTTTAAGGCGAATTTTAAACACTCAAAATGTTATGGTAATTTCTAATGGTATTTAATTATTTCAACGTTTCTGCATGGATTTGGCAAAACCAATCAAACCAAAAGTAAAAAGAGTTAATATGAAAGGCCAAATGTATATTGTATTCTCGAAATAAGAAGTTGAAATTGTTATAAATGTTTAAAATAGAGCAGTCATGCTTCTGCAAGAGAGTATAGTCCGTTGTGTACATGTCTTTCTTGTCTGTATTTTATGTTATATGCTCACTTACATTTGTATTATCCATCACAAACGCCGTGGCAGCTTGTTGGCTGTGGGGCGTTGTCACCATTTCTATTGTTGCTGCTGTTGCTGTTGGGTTGGCAATGCTGTTGCTGTGACTGGTGCTGCTGCCCGTTGTTGTTGCGGTCATTGCAGGCCGTTTGGTTGGTGGCTCGGGCAAAATATCGCTGTCGGTTTCCGCCTCATCAAAGTTTTTAACAACGACCAAGTCTGTGCCAAGAGTTGCCTTTTGCTGTTTCTTCCGCTGTGTCTGCCGCAGTTGCTGTTTCTGCTGCTTTTTTTGCAGTTGCTGCTGTTGTTGCAGTCGTTGCTTTTCGTGCAGCAAATGCTGCTGATGATGCTGATGCTGATGATGTTCATGCTCCTCCGTTTTGTAGTCGTAATAAAGCAGAGCCGGCAAGTTTTCAGGAAAATTTAATATTTTACTGGAAGAATGTGGCTGATGGGCGTGTAAATGTTGCTGTTGCTGGTGTTGGTGTTGTTGGTGAGGCGTCGGCAATTGCTGCTGATAATGTGTTTCCTTTGCCGCTTGATTAACAGACATTGCGGCCACATTGAACTCCTGCTGCTGCTGGGGAGGTTTCTTATGTTGTTGCTGGGCCATTGCGGGCTTTTGCTGCTGTTCATGTTTCTGTTGCTTGATTATATTGTAGTTGCCGCTTTCGCTGCTGCTGCTGCTGCTGCTGGTGACGCCGCTGATACTGCTGCTGTGGTTGGCAGCACTGTCGCTCTTTTGTTTTTGTTGCATTATGTCTGGCTTTTTATAATCCGGCGCCTGCTTGCGGCTATGGTAAACTTCGTAGTCATTAAAATTCTTTTGATTCTTGTGATGCTTGTGTCGCTTGCCAGCTTTCCTCGTTGTTTTGTGCACTTTTGTTGATTTTCTCGTTGTGGTCTCATACCGATACGGATCCGAATAGTCGCCGCCAGTCGTCCCCATCGCCGTCGCCGCCGCCGTTGCAGTCGCCTCCCCTCTGTTTACATTCGCCTTATCTGCGCAGAAAGTGAAAAGTTTCATCTACATTGCGGGCCTTAAAGCACATAAAACTCAATTCAAACTAACCGCATTTCTCCCACCAGCAAAAGATTTCACCGTCCATACACAGGCAAACCTCACAGGCATCCAAACGCGGCACCTGCCACAAAGTACAAAAATAGGTTTAAAAAAACACAAAACACGGGTTAACTAAATTCTACAAAAACCAAAAACAAGCAGAATATCAAATACGAAAACATGGTGTATGTTTTGTCGCATTTGGTTGTTTTTTTTAATTCCCACACCAAAATATGAGTAGCTGCAACTAAAGCTGAAACTTTATGTAAATGTTTAAAATCCCTGTTAAAACCTCAAAACGAATTTACCAAAGATAGTAGCTTAGGAAATTTAGCATATTTAATTTTGAAATGGACACTAGAAACACAGCTAAATGTGGAGACCTTAACATTAAATGACACGTGGCTTTAATTAATTACATTCTAATTATATTAGATATGAGTAGCTGGAACTAAAGCTGAAGGTGTTTATAAATGGTTAGAATCCCTTTTAAAACCTTTAAGTGAATTGGCCAAAGACAAAGACAAAGACTAAATTAGGACACAAGAATCACAGTTATACTTGGAGATCTTAACGTTGAATGAGACGTGGCTATAGGTAATTACATTTTATTTATATCCCTTGATAAAGCTTATTACTATTCAAGGCTTTCTGCTGCAAACATTGTATACATCAAATCATTTACCAGGTTAAAACAAAAGTGCTTACAACCAGGCCAACTCCCGAAACGTAGCAGTATTCTCCATTGTATCAACTACCCAACCATTCTCAAAAGAGCAAATCTTTTTATATTTATCACCCAACACGTGCACACACTACTACTTACTTGTATGATTGAATTACATATTTGTCTATAAGTCGGAATTTGTCAAGGATATGCCTGATTATACAACCCCAACCACATTATTAAGCGATTCAGAAAAATGGCCAATGTTCGAATTGTTAGTGGCTTGGTTTATTATCCAAATAAGATGTTATTTGAAGCATCAACTTTCCTCCAAAGTGGAGTTATTTAAATTGATTATGTAATGCAATGTAAGCACTTTATTACAATAGATGAAAAGTTGCATGAATGTACACTCAAAAAAAAAGGAACCGACATTTATTAAAAAAAAAACATATTTTTGGCGCCAAGTGCAGCTCAGCTTATTATAAAGAAATTCAATTTCAAGGATATATTTTTCCAAAATCTATAAAAAAGATTTGTTGTACAACACTAAGTATTCTTACATTAGCTTTATTGTTCTTTTCTTGCATTTCAAGTAATTTAAAAAGGAATATAAAATTACAATTTTCCACAAATTATACAATCTCCGAGCAACAACACAATTTTATATAGAAATTTTTATTTATATCTGCTCTTTAATAAATCCTGAAAATACTTTTTCTTGCACATATATAAAAAATATTTTAAAATCCAATGTATTCTTAAGATTTCACATAAACAACTATTTTAGAAATGTTTTAAAGCTTTCAGCTATCACCGAAACAGCAAATTTCATTATTCATTCATTCATTTGTAGAAAGATAGTTTCTAAAAACAAGAGTTTTGCATTTCTTTATAGTAGAAAATATATCTAAAAAATTGAAAAACCCCTAATCTTAAGAAATGCCTTCTTCGTATGTTTAGAAATTTTAAAAGAAAAGAAACGAAAAAAATTGTCTAGTTTTGAACGCGATTTGCACTTTAGTGATTTCCAAAATTGTAGTTCCTTTTCTTCTGAGTGTACTTATATTCACAGCAATTATACAGCTATAATAAAATCTTTTCCAAGCCTATAGGTGTAAACGCAAACTATAAATGTGTAATTTAATGCGTCAGCTGAAAGGAGAAATCCGTGAAAAGCACCGCAACCGCAAATGAATATTCGCTCAGGAAATGCCGAAAAGTTGAGTTGAAAACACAGGTGTGCATAAGCCAGTTGTGTGTGAGTGAGTGAGAGTGTGTGTGCTAATATGTGTGTGTGTGCGTGTGTGTGTGTGCAACGGCTTACCTTCTGTCCGTGTGTGTACTTATGGCCATTTGTGAAACAAGCAGCTGCTCGACTATGCGGCTCCAAGTCATCCTCAGTCGGAGAGCTGGCAGCGGCTGCTGCCAACTGCGCTTCGCTGTCAGCATCCGAGTTGGAGTTGGTGTTAAAATTGAAGTTGGCTTCGCCGTTGGAGTTGATTACGACATTCGAATTGGAACTAATGCGGGATTCGATGTCCGCTCTTTGCTGGAGCTCAGCGTCGCTCAGCATTTGCTCGGAAAGCAGACGTGCATCGTATTTGGCCTGAGATTGGGCCTCGTCCAGGTCGTAGTTGAAGTCGTCCAGGTGCTCGTCTAAGTACTCAAAGGGCAGGGCTGTGAAAGTGTGGGGCGGTGCAGAGGGGGCGAAAAGGGAGCAAAAAGAGGAAAAAAGCAAATAGGCGAAATAAGACGCTGTTGATTTGGCTTATTTGTCTGGTGTTGTTGTTGTTGTTGTTTCGGTATCTTAAAGTTTGTTTAAAGCCCCGCTTGCTGTTCTAAAAGCATTTTGTGGGCTATTATTAGTACTAAGCTGCAATCAGCCGGCTGTTGCCACCTTTCAGCAAAGCCATAAACTGCTAACTGTTAACTCGGATTTTCTTCTTATGTTTTATTTTTGTTTCTGTATGCTGCTCACATATTTGATAAATTATCATAAAAAATAATGAAACGCATAACATTTGTGAGCACTTGGAAATAAATCAAAGCGCGCATAAGGCACAAATACACATGCACCGACAGAGATTTATGTTTATGTGTATGTGTTTTATGGCATTTGTCATTAAATCAAAAGGCTGTGCTCATAATGACATAAAATGGAACCGGCAAAGTAAATCAAAAATGGCATATATAAAACACAATTGGAGCGTGTTCTCATAAAATCCATCACAATTTGTTTGGCACAGATTTTCAATACAAGTCGCTTAGAAATCTTGGACTAGAAATAAACGATTTATTGGCACGGACTCAATGTTTTTTATTTGTCAACAGTTGATTAAAAATATGAAATATAATAATATTTGTTAATAAATATAAAATGTCGGTTAAATTTGTATTATCAGTGGAAATATAATTTGTACTATATATATATTCTTTAATGACTTTTTATTTATTTCTTTTAAAATAATAGGCACTTTTTAAAATTAAAAAAAAAAACTTCCCAATTTCTACATGAACTCTCTCTGAATACGAATCCAGATTATTTAAAAAATAAATATAAACACTTAATCTAGAAAAGTAAAAAGTTTCATTTAAGGGATTTGCTACACTTTCTTAAATTTGCCAGATCACTTTAGAAATTTATTGCCATTTTCTTCCTAAAATAAAGTTTCAGTACGAATTTAGACACAGGCCTTTAGACAATCATTAAAATCAATAATTTCATGCAATTTAAATCGCCCAGGAAGAATGGAATTATTCCTTGACATAATAAAATATTAATTTTATTGCAATTAATAATTTAATTAATTAATTATATATAATTATAATTAGCAGAATTAATTGAACTTCTTCTTTTTATATTTATATTTTGTCCAAGATTTCTAAACGTGTATGATTAAATGCTGACTGTAAAACACTTATATAAAATTTCTCTGGCTTGAAGCGAAGTGCTTGGAACCCTTTTGAGACTTACCCTCGGCCAGGTGCTGTTCAAGACGCAGTAATCCAAAAATGTTGCAGCTGTGGCAGAGCAGCAGCGAGAACCACAAGCAATTGATGCTTGTCATGCTGATGCTACTGCCACTGCCTGTGCCTCTGCCTCTGCCTCTGCCACTGTTAATAATCCCTGGCATGTTGTTCTCACTTCCGATTCCGTTGCCAGTGTCTTTACTTTTGCTTTTGCTTGTGGATTTCATGCACTTAATGCCACATTCTGCCGCACTGTGCTCACAAAATAGACACGCAACCTTCGCACAAAACCGTTTTTCGTTTCTCGCTTTTCGTCGTTTGTTTGCAGTTGGTTTTTCTATTTATTTATTTCGTTTTGTTGCCGTCTATTTTTGGACAAGTGTTGCAGTTGGTTGTGCTTGTTTGCTGCAAGTATGTCTTGTTATTTTTATCAAACCAACACGCGACACACTTTATAGACACACACGTACAAATATATAGAGCAATTGCATGCAAGCAGATAGCTGCCCGCTTAAGTAGGCAACACTATTTTTTAGTCTTGCTTACGCAACACCCGTTCACAATGAGCTATTTATTGCCATTAGCACTGGTTATGTTCAATTCATTTACTAAATTGGTAATCGCACAACTGTGATTCGACTGTGCTACGTGCCATGCACCAACAACTAACTACCCCCATCTAAACCAATCCAATCCAGCCAACAAGTGTTTCCTCACTTTCACGCTACGTGCTTTATGTAACTCAAGCAAAAGTTGGCCAACAGACGCGAGACGCGACTCTCAAAGGAGGCAACAATGTGGGGCAGCTGCGGCGTGTGTAAAGCAATTTCAAATCAAATAAACGCCATTAACTAATCAAACGATTTCGCTAATGGCTCATTTTTCAAGGGGCTCTCAAGTAAAAATAGAACAAAAATTAAAAAGCCAATTAAAATATGCAAAATAAAAAGCGAACAATGAATTTAGTAGGAACTACCCTCTATAGTAATAAACGACTTAATATAAAAGAACACATAGTCAGTGAACGGTTGCAAGATCTACCAAAAAAGCCCAAGAAGATTGTACAAGTTGGACATTAATAACAATAATCATAATAATAATAAACTTTGAACCAATGTCTTATAATTTGTGCACTCACAAATTTTAGAAATATACAAAAAAATATTTCTTTAAATTAGAAAGACTATAGTAAATATCATTTAGTGAATATCTTTTAAGTAAATATTAATTTAATTCTTTAATTTAAGAAAATCTACCCGCAAATTAATAAAAGAAAAAATATCAGTTTTTGATAATAAGTTAAGCTGCTCTTGACGATTTTCTAAATTGAAAGCAAATTATTTTCCGAGTGTAGTGAAGGAGTCTTAAAAAGCAAGAAATATAAGAAAGCGAGAGCAAAAAAGCTCAAAAAGGAAGGAAGGATATTGATAAGAATAATCATTATAATATCCGATAAACAAATTTTATTAATAATGATCTGATAATTTGTAATATACTCAAATTTCAAATGTTTAGTCCTGGTTTAAATTTATGTAATTTAAAAAGCCTTAGTATTATACTGATAATACGCCATTTATTCTAAGAGCAATATATTTGTTGCACAAAGTCATAAATTCTGCCAGTCTATTTTTTTTTTTTATATTTTTATAATGTGTTTTGATTTGAAGCCATATCATAGCCACATAAGCTTAACACACACATCAGTAATGCCCGACTCTACTCTATCGAGGAGGACAAACGATTGAAAGGATTGCCAGCGTAGAACAGGCGCTAATGCAGAGCTCAAATTCGCATAAAGTGTTTACCGGCAAACAATGCGAAGGTAAACTAACTGTCAGAGTGCTTAATTTATGGCATAAAAGGATCGAGGTGCGGCTGGGGGAAGCGAAGGGGGATGCGGATTGAGAGGCACATAGAACTAAGGCAAACAAAACACTTGAGCTAAACAATTCGCTTCGGGCGAATGCGGAAGTGAAAAGCCAAAAGCAGAAAAAGGCAAAAGAAAAAGAGAAAATAAAAATAAAAATAAAAGGAGCAGGAAATCAGAATGTGGAACGTGAAGTACACGGCAGCAGTCATGAGAGGCAAACGGAAATTCATTGCCAGACGTTTGAAGTGTGAGAAATTAGCGCAATGCACACACTCACACACACACACACACACACATACATGCAGACTTAATGTCTGGCCATCGGGGCGTATGCTCAATATTTGAGTGACATTTCATTTATAATAACTTTCGCTGCACATGTGTTCAGCCACTGATTAAATTCCAACTGCAATTTTAATTCACACACATGTAAATATATATATTTTTGCTAATTACACAATTTAATATGTTGCTTATCAAATGCAGGTCAGGCAAATAATGCACTCAGTATTCACGTCGTCTGTCCGTCTGACTGAGTGACTGACGAATTGTATGTTTGATAGACTGACACACGCGGCATCTGTGTGTTTATCTTGTTGCCGTAATTCAGGTTCAACGCTGCGTCGCCCACTGTGTTCGCCAGATGCTGTGCACTGCGTATTTAAGCAACAGTAAAAGCGACAGCATCCGACAACTCAATCTGTTATGCTCTTTCTCTCTCTCAAGCGAGCGCTCTCTCGCTCTCTCGGAATCTCGGAGTTTCGCTCTCTCTCTCTCTCTCTCTCGTTGTGGTCCTTTTTATGAATGAGTTTGTGTGCGCTAGACACAGCTCGGCTGAGCGCGACATTTTGAGCAGCGTTTTAACAGTGAGAGCGCTGTTAAGGCGCTGTTAACTAAAGTATGCTTGTGTGCGTGTGTGTGTGTGTGCTGTTCGCAAATTGCATTAAAATGAATCAGTTTTGTGCAAACATTTCTCAGCGTTGCCGCTTTGTGCAATTTACATTTTGGCAGCCATTGGACAAACTGCTCTTGTTGCTGTTGTTCCATCCATTAAACAGTTTCAGCTTTACGCACAAAAGCATGCAGGCTTTTATTTTCGTAAAGTGTAAATATGTAAATGGGCCGGCGCACAAAACTTGACTGAGGCTGACTGACAGGCGATGTGAAGCCTGAAACTGAGGATGATGCTGACGCTTGTTAGACATGACAATGCGTGTTTGTGTCAGGATAACTGTCAACTGTTGCCTCACTCGCTCTCTCTCTCTTTCTCTCTGACTCTCACACTCGCATGCCCCTCAATGTTTATTTTGAATCTTCTTGTTTCTCATACGCTTTCAACTGCTAATTTCTTTTATAAATTTCATGTGCTGCATATTTACATAAAACTCGCATAACAATCATTTTCATATTCATCAAGTGTCGCTGTCATACTTCACATTCCACACACACACACACACACACATGCATATATGTGTGTCAGGTTTAGAAATATGCATAAGCATTAATTCCGATCGACACGCAACAGTTGGCACATGTCGCATGTGTGATATACGATATACGTTTGCAACACATGATATTATGATATATGGCATAGATATCTCAGAAATGACAACGCCATCGATTTGTTTCCGGTCCCAAAGTCAGGCAAGCTAAGCGAAAATCAATATGGCCTGACATCTGAAAAATGTCAATTGCCTGCAATATTTTCACAATAACAACAACAACAGCAGCAGCAGCAACAATTTTCCTATGTGAAAATTATGAGCCATAACATCTTGATAGCATTGACATTTTTGTGTTTATTGTTGTTGTTGTTGGGCATATTTGATTGCCATCATAATTTAACTTAGGCCAAGCATTTGCTTACAAAATATCGAAATACAAATTTCCCAGAATTGCGGAATTACATTTCATGTGCATTTCCATATGACAATTAAATAAGCAATTAATCAGAATGAATAATAAGCAGCGTAACGAAACGACCATATCAAATGAATATCCTTTTCATAATAAATAAATAAATATAATAAGTATGACATGGACCCCGGCTAAACAATTATATGTACATCCTCTTATCTTCAATTAGGTTTGCAATTTTATTACCTATAATCAGAAAAAGAAATTAATAAAAACGCACCAAAATGAAAATCGCCCTGAAAACCAGAAAGGAGACTTTTAGAAATAATTTATAAATATACGAAAAAACAAATTTCTAAATTTAGATAGTCATTTCTTTATTTTACAACATTTTTTCAATTATTTAAAAAAAAAAAACACAAAAGCCCAAATTTTAAATAAAATTCACTCTAAAATGCTTATATATGTAAAATCTTTAAATTTAAATATTGATTGCAATTATAAGTATAATAAGAAATAGAATACAATAGAAGAAAATAAGTATAATAAGAAATAATTTTTTAATGCTCATTCTTGTCAGAAATATAATTTCCTAATAATAATGCAAGCTATCCTTGAGTTTCAAAGTTTTTTTTTGGCTGAGTGTAAACTACAGTATATAAAAAAATATAATTTTAAAAATGTTTATATATTAATGAAACATTTAAAAAATCTAGCTGCAAAGTAAATTATTAAATGTGCATATTTTTATTTTTTAAACGTTATGTTTCTTATCTAAGTCATTAGTGTTAATAATTAATAATTATATATATAAATATATTATCTAATTATCAGTTTCTCTCTCTTAAAACATTATTTTGTCACAGACATCAAATGGGCTTTTCCTAAACTCAGAAAACAAAATCACACTGAGACTTTGAACTCCTAAACATTTATATTTCTCTGTAAATATAGCTGATAGATACCACAAAGTGTACTTAAAAAATATTTAAATTTATATATCCATCATATTAGGCTAAACTGCGCTGATTTTTGCCATTTCGCCCTCAAAGTTGCGACTCGAAAGGAACTTGGCAAATTTGTTGGATATGCAAAAAGGCCTTTGCCGTTGTGGCTCGAAAATGAAATCACTTGAGTAATTGTTTTAAGGCCAACCCCTTTGACACTACATTCCCCCCACTATGTATATAAATCCATTCATGGAAGTGCACAGGCTGGGTCAAATTTAATAAAAGTGTCAAACGCTTTTGTTTGATTTTATTAGGCATAATACTCGGTATTTATGATTATATTTTGCTCAAATCCTTGAAATCCTTTTTGCCGTCAAGAAAAACGCACAAAGTTATGCCATAAATATTAAAATAAATTGTTCTAAATTTTTAAGTACCCCGAAAGATTTATAAATTAGCCAAGTCGGCTCAGCGGGCAGCCGGCCATAAAAATGATTCATTTCATTGGACATGTGTTTCCTTTCAGTCAAAGCCAAGACAAGTGCGGTGGGGTTAGGGGTGAGGTCAGAGCAAGGCTGTGTCTTAAGCTTATGCAAATTAAATAACAATTATAAATTCTAAAGGACTGCTTTCTGTGAGATCCTTTTGGGGGCGAGGTCAGCAAGTAGAACAAAGCTCAGGGCCTGTAAATGGAGATGACCGTATGTAAATATTTAAAATGGTAAAATACTGACACCACCCCCACCCCCAACCCCAGCCTTCCGAAGAAATTGTCGTTATGTAAACTGCCGAGCAAATTTTGCTGCAAACTGCTACAGAGACTTGTCAATGGCATTGTGAGTACTAAGACCGGATTTGAATGCGGCATCAAAAATTGTTATTGCCAGCTGCATTTATTTGTTGTGTCTATGTGTGTTTTAGGCCAGTTTACTTTCGGACAGCTTACCGATTCAGGTGCTTTTAATTTAATTACCATGTCATAGGCGAAACATTCGTTTAACAGACATGCCACAAAAGCAAAACGTGAATAAGCCACAAATATCAAATTGTTTGTAATTCGGAATTTTGGACAGGAATGCAATTTCAACCAACAATAAAATTTGGCCAGTTTCATGTTATTTGCCGTTTATTGCATTTTATTGTTTTTAAAGTTATTTAGATTCCAATATTGATTGAAGCTTTAAATAATAAAATAAATGGGTTCACTTTTTGCATGAAAAATTGTGTGTCGCGATAAAAGCGCATAAATGGAGTGTTGGAATTGCTCAAAGTTTTTGTCCAGTTGCCAAGAAAAGTTGACAAACTTTATCACACACACACAGACACAATAAAACACACACACACACACATACGTGCATATAGAGAAAGTTCTACGAAACGAACTACGAAATGAAACCTAGTTGTATCATAAAAATGAACTCGCAAAACTTTTCATTCTCCACAAAAGGCATTTTTATCGCACATTGTTCTTGTTCTGTTTCGAAAGTTGTCTGCTCCTGGCTAAAATGACCCACAATGAGGCCGCTTGAAAGCAAACTGTGCAATATTAAAAACGTAAACTTGAAATCAAATCATTTGCGCATTTCAATTACAAAGAAAAACTCTAATTGCAATCCCAACTTGGAAGAAGCAGAAACAAAAGAGAAAAAAACGTATTTAAAGAACCAGCAATTAAGAATCGTGTCGAAGAATTACAAAAACAAAAAAGGTATTCGGGCAAAAGAAGCGTTGGATGAGGATGGTATAGAAGATTACTAAAAGCAATTTGAAAACAACAGCAGCAGCAGCAGCTACGAAAGATAAAATGCTAAAGTTACCCAGCTTCAAGTTGCAAGTTGCAAGTTGCCAGTTGTCGGTTGCCATAACAATTCTGCCACAGCGTTCAGCAAAGTGGCCGACTTGAAGGCCACTTCATTGGCAACGGCATCAACGTCATATCAGTCAAACCAGCTCCGGGCCAGCAATTCCAACGTATCTGTCAGAGAGCTGCTTATGAACTACTTACAGCCAAAATGAATAAATACATTTATTTACTCAATTTATTTAATGTGAACTAAAAATAAGAAAAAATAAATTTTAATTTTAGCTTACAATTTAATGATGTTGTTATGTTATCATTAATCAATGCGAATAAAATACAGAGTTTATGAGAACGTTTCTCCATCTTATTTTGAGGCTTACTTAATATAATATTTATCAAAAATCAAAATTAAAATAAAATTCAAAAGTTAGTTGAATAATGTGTTACAAAATGAATAGTTGCTTTTCTGATATTAGTTAAAAAATTTAAATTATATATTATTAAATTCAAAATATTGTATACCCTTGTTAGAAATATATTTCTAATATTAGGAAAAAATTCCACAAAATAGAAAAAACTCTTTACAATTTTAAGAAATTTCTTAGAAATATTTTCTTATATGTGGAAGATTCTGTTAATTTAAATTAGTCTGAGCCTTAAGAAAAGGGTGGAGAGTAGAGCCGACTCTCTCTCTTTCACTCTCTCTTCTTGTTTAATGTTGTTTAAGGAACTTATGGAACAGCCTACGCTGTTTTTGCTCAGCGCAAGACAATGCGCCACTTGGCGTTCTTTTAAGAACTTGATTGAAGTGCATGATAAGCGCACCTGCGGCTGCAAAAGTCTTATGATACGCTAGAATGTAGTATATATGTAGAAGAAGCGGCATGCCACTTGGCTATGGCATTTGAAAGTCCTCGAAGAGAGTATCCAATTTGGCTTAGCTGTCGCTTAGGCTTAAACTCTTAGTACTTGGCTTATGAATTATGCATTGAGCGCAATAAAAATGTCGTCAGCATAATAATAATTAGG